AAAACAACCAAATTTTATTATTTTGAATCATAGTTTTGACTCAGAATATAATTTTTTTGCATATATCTTAATTTTCGCGAACAAAGTTATATTTCATATAAAGAATTCGCTAGAATTCGCGACCTTAGGTGGTAATTAAACCAACTTTTTTAGGTTACCTCATTAATAACATATATTCATAATATATCATTGGGTAGCTCAAGTTTTGCCGAGTCGAATAAGGTATAAATTGTCCGCGTTTCGCAAAGTTACGCGAACTTATAATTGTGACAATGTTTCGCAAATCTATATCATGTGATTTTCCATAAGCATGATGACGTCATATACGCTACCCTTAACAAACCTTTCGTTTTAAGATTTCGGCCATTACATAATCCTTTTCATCCTTAGTTAGATTTAAGATGAAACCTGGAGGGGTGGATTTTATCCGTGCTTTTTTTCTTTGCCTATACTATTAAAAAGCTTATAAACCTTTTCGGATCTCTCCATCTTTTTTCGCAAAGCTTCGTCAGAACATTTTGCCTCAGGAATCGCTTCTCTAACCTCTTTTTTACTATCGCTTCAAATCCATCCTACCATACTCGGGTTTTAATTCCTTGTATCATTTATATACAGCTTCCCCAAAATTAAAATAACTGAAAATGAGACTGAGCCGGCTCGTGCAATTTCGTCCCAAGATTTTTAAGAATGCTGTAAGCAGGGTTTCGAAGGTTGGGGAGATCGGAGGAAGAAGGCATCCTACTATTCCTGATATTTAGGGTCTACAGACCCTTAACTTTTCTCAAGTGAGACTTTAGGTCTCACTTCCTTATTCACAATATAACATTAACCTTAGTAAAGCCCCGCCGAAATTTGGTAGGGTCTTCGAAATCCTGAACGAAAAAATGAATTTTACCTCATAGGTCCACTTCATGTAAATGCACGACCACAACAGAAAATATCTTAATTGCGTAATGTCTCGTCCGGACTTAAATAATTTCTTCGTCAACCTTTCAAACTGCGAGACGTCGGTTTTTTTTCATAATGTTTAGATTCAGAAAAAATAATACAACTGGGTTACAAAGTATAATTTTAATATTTTTTTATAGCACTGAAAGAAATGCATTGTTATACAAGTCAGTTGTTAACACGTAATAGATAGATGGTATTCAATTTGAAAATCACTTAGGAGTTCTTTTAAGGTTGAGAACTGGGCTATTTTCGGTATTCGTCTTCCTACGTTTTCCACGAATGTTTTCGGAATGTAATTTTTGGATGAGAGTTTCTGTTTCAGACAATTTCCTCTACATAAAATAGGATAATAAGAATTCGTGAATTGTTCATAACAATAGGATAAATTTCAAATTGCATACCTCTAACTCTTTTAGAAGACAAAAGACATCTTCAAATAAAATACAGCTTTCCTTATTGAGTGGGAATGAACAATGATCGATTCTCCCGAAACGGTATATGCCATCCCCGGCCCAGTCCAAAGCGTATAATGATAAATCCAAACCTATATTGGCGAAATCACATTAGTTATATAGTAAATAATTTATTTGTTAGAATATCTGTTAGACTGTTACCCGCAAGTGTCCAACCAAATACAATTATTTCCTTTCTCTGATCGTCACATAAATATCTCCATTCTTTAAGAACATGATTGAGTGAATCTCGCATCAACACGGCGAGTTTGATCTTATCAAAATACTTTTTTTTCCGTGAAGCAAGCGAGATGCCAATCGAGGAAAGTCCACCTGCAACCTCCCCGTATAATGCTTCAAATTTGTTTGAAGTCCTAGTCAAGACTCCTTTCATGTCGACCTTTCTTCCAATGCGAGCCTTAACAAAAGGATTTGCATCTTCGTTTCTTGCTTCTTTAGAACCAATCGCTTGAACCTCTCCCCTATATGCAGAAAGTTAATATTATTTATATATTCTGCTGTATAATCAAACGAACAGTGACCCACCATATATCATTAACCAATGATGGATCCACGACTGCATTAAACAAAGGGTACATCGTTGTAAATTTGAGTGATTCTTCTGTCTTAGCTCCCTTTACGGAAGACATATGACATATTCTGGTAAAAGAAAAAAAATCCTTATTAAATAATACTGTATGTATCATAGGACTTCGCTCAAATAACTGATAAGCCAATTCTTACGCAAATTTAATATTCATGTGGAGGTTTTCAAACGTTGCATAATCCTCAATATCTCCAATCTTAGAAGGATCACAATTAGATTCAAAATATTTTTGGAGATATTCAGGAGCTGGTTCCGGAGACCAGTGGACGTGATCGGAAAAATCTTGTGATATTTTGTCGATTTCGCTCTGGGAGAATTCTGTGCAACCATGGAAACTCTCTTGTGTCAAATCGAAAATGCCCCAATAACCCAATCTATTATATAGCAAGCAAAATTTAAAAACAAGTTGAAGTTTAGTAAATATTTAGAGCGTAATAAAACTAAAATCATAATATCAAAGCTTACGTTATAATTTTGCGTGTTTGGGGGATCTTATTTTGATATCTCACAAACTTCTCGGAGATGCCTTGCCAAAAATTATCTTGCTTTGAAACCTATTAATATCATTGAATCAGTACGCTGAAAATTAATTATAAATTTCGACTCAATTCATCGATGGATTCAACTAAATCATTTTCACATGACTCGTCAAATAAGAGAATTGATTTATTCGTTTCTTCTATTGATTCTTCCATTAAATCTTCTGTCAATTGTTCACTTCTCCTTTTCTGTTCATTGGCCACTTCATTTTTTGATAGGGTCGCCTCACCATTCTGTGATCTCCTTTTTTCGCTTGTTCTTCCTCGTAACCACTTTGATACTTTCTGTGATGAATATATATTTCTCTCTATATATTGGGCCCTTTCAGCAAGTTGCAGATCAAAGTATCGATCATGGAAATCGTCGTACCACTCCGTACAACTTTTCATGATTGACGAGCCTTCAAAAGTATTAACGTTTGATAATTCTTCGCAAAATGAACGTATACTGACCGGAATTTTTTTATTATTTGTTTTTTTGATAATTTCGAGAGAACTTTCCCAATCATTATAAACAGTGAGCCAAGGTGGGATTACATTTTCGTTTTCTAAACGATAGTTAAGATAATGTTTTAGTTTCCAATTCTCTGCTTCAACTTTCTTAAAATAATCAAAAACATCTAATTCATCAGGCGCTAAGTAGCTCGAGTAAATATTCGATCTCAACGTAGCAGTCATGTTATACATAACGTCTATTATAATGCGTGTAATAATAAAAACATTTTTTCTTGGCATTTTTAATAAGATAATTCCAGCCTTGTATAAAAATTTTCTATAC